CCCCAAAACCCCAAAACCCCAAAACCCCAAAACCCCCCACAGGATATTATTGATTGAAATCTTTATTCACCCAAACTCAAAGATATGGAGTCCCATAAGTTTACCATTGGAATCCTCAAAGAAGTCGATGCTTACTGTGAGTCAAGAGCTGCGTTCACTCCAGCCTTTGTCTCAGAGCTTACATCAGCAGGAGCAAGGGTTCTTGTTGAGAAAAGTGAGTGTTTCCCAACTAACTACAGGCGATGTCAGATGATTTGAAGACGCAGACTACCATAAACATGGTGCCATCCTCGTTGATAAAATCGAAGAAGCTGGGTCTAAAGCTCTTCTACTTGGAATCAAGCCAATCTACCCTCAGAACGTGATCCCTGATACCAACTACATGTTCTACTCAAGGATCGCCAACAATTTGGAGGCCACCATTCCTCTTCGTAACTCATTGCTTGAAGCCAACTGAAGCTTCATCGACTATGAGGTGGTCAAAGACTCGCAAGGAAACGCCCTCATCGGTAAGGCTGAGCTCAATCATAGGCACTTCGCGTTTGGCCGGCAGAGTTGGAGCTTTCAACACCATTCGGGCTCTTGGAGAGTTCATGTTGACCAAAGGGTGTCGCAAGACTACTCCTGAAGGAGTCACAAGAAAGGCAAGATTTTGTCTAAGTCTGTAGCAAATCCGAACTCCACTGCTTCAAGCAGGCTCAGCCTACATGTACGACAGTTATGATGAACTCGTGGATAAGCTCCACAAAATCAGAGACGAACTCGCTCAGAACCCAGACAGAGTGTCTTCCAACTGTGGCCCACTTGTGTTCGGAATCCTCGGAATGGGAGTTGTTGGCCAAGGAGCCAGAGATGTGTTCATTGAACTCGGAGCTCAGCAAATTCCTGCTGAAAGTTTGGAAGCAATCGATCAGCTTGACAGTTCCAAGATGTATTATGTCGAACTTGGAAGAAAACATTTCTTGCAGAAAGATGGAAAGTGTGAATTCTCACACGAAGACTACACCCTCAACAAATCTGATTATGAGAATGTGTTCTGCCAAAAGTATCTGAGCAAACTCAGCGTCCTTGCCCTCAGCATTGCTTGGACACCAGAATATCCTCCATTGATCACCAAAGAAGGCATTGATTCGCTGTTAAACGATCCTCACAGCAGACTGATGGCGATTGGAGACCTGGCTTGCATTGCAAACGGGCCTGTCGAATTCTTAAAGTCATGCAAAACAAGCGAGAGTCCATTCTTCTACTATGACTCTACAAACGGAGTCTCAGACTTTGCTGAAGAAGCTGCATCTGACTCAATAATTTACTTGGCTGTTGAGAAGTTGCCATCAGAATTGCCTAAAGAAGGTTCCCATATGTTTGAGTCTTCACTATCAGCCTACTTAAAAGATATTTGTGAGAAAGAAACGCTTGATTATGAACACATGGATGATGAACTTAAAACAGGAGCAATCATTAGCAAAGGACAGTTCACCGACAAGTATTCGTATCTAGGCTAATCTCCAACTTTACAAGTGTTCAATATTTGGATATTCTAACGGGGTTTTGGGGTTTTGGGGTTTTGGGGTTTTGGGGTTTTGGGG